TAGAGACACAGTCTCACTGAGTTGCTAAGTGCCTTGCCATTGCTGAGGCTGGCTTTGAATTCATGATCCTCCTGTCTCAGCCTCCCAAGCTGCTGGGATTACAGGCATGCACCACTGTGCCTGGTTCTTTTTTTTTTTTAATATTTATTTTTTAGTTGTTGATGGACCTTTATTTTATTTATTTGTATGTGATGCTAAGAATTGAACCCAGTGCCTCACACATGCTAGGCAAGTGCTCTACCACTGAGCCACAACCCCAATCCTTATTTCTTATTTTGAGACAGGGTTTCACTAAGTTGCACAGACTGGTCTTCAATTTTCAATTCTCCTGCCTCAGCTTCCCAAATGGCTGGAACCACCTGCTGACACAACATTGTATTTGTGTATTTATTTATTTACACAGTGACACTGGGAATTGAACTCAAGAGTCCTTTACCTCTGAACAGTACCACCAACTCCCTCTGCCTTGCTCCTTGGCCCTTTTTCTTTCTTCTTTTTTTTTTAATACCTTTATTTCATTTTTATATGGTGCTAAGGATTGAACCCAGTGTCTTACACGTGCCAGGCCATCGATCTACCAGTGAGCCATAGCCACACAAACCCCACTCAGTTGCTTAGCACATTGCTGTTGCTGAGGCTGGCTTTGAACTTGCAATCCTCAGGCCTCAGCCTCTCCAGCCGCTAGGATTACAGGAGTGTGCCATTGCCCTGGCTCCATGTGGTTAATTGTTTTTTTTTTTTTAAGTTTTTTTAAAAATATTTATTTTATTATTTTTTAAAGTTTTCGGCGGACACAACATTTTTGTTTGTATGTGGTGCTAAGGCTCGAACCCGGGCCACACGCATGCCAGGCGAGCGTGCTACCGCTTGAGCCACATCCCCAGCCCCATGTGGTTAATTTTGTGTGGATGGCTCACATCATTCAGCTCTTACTTGTGACCCATCTTACAGATTCTGATACTTTAATGACGTGTATATGAAAGTTTTTCACACTGAAAGTATACAATTATGGAAACATTTGATGAAAATAAAACTTTGTTAGCTTGACACTTTCCTGAAACAAAACCTAACAATCTTAACATTTGCTGTCATTAACCAGGTTCTACCAGAGGTGCTGGGGACCCATGTAGAGTGTACTTAACACACCACTTCAAAATGATGAAGTGGTGGTTGTAGAGCTGTGGTTTTTACTCTATGGGAAATGTGTCAGGGCTTCTTTACACTGAGAGGTTTAGGGCTTAAACAAGTTAACTTACTAGAGTAATCCACTTTGCTCTATTGAATTGTCTTAAAATTTCCTGTTTTAAACAGCTACATTACTTGATTAAAACAATGTTAATTTAAAAAAATGCAACTTAGACTATATTTCAAAATAAAAATATAAAAGGGGCTGAGGATGTGACTCAGTGGTACAGTATCCTTGGGTTCAATCCCCAGTACCAAAAAAAAGAGTTTCAAAATATTCAATGGAAGCCAAAAACATCCCTTACTAGAGAATTTTAGTGCCGCAGGAGGAGGAGGTAGGAAGAGGAGACGGAAAGTTAAATCAGATCTGTATAAAATGTGCAGAAATGGGTACTGCCCTCAGAATCTGTACAATGGGACAAAGAAATCTCCCTATTTATAAGCTTGAGTGGGTTCTGATGTTACCATATTGGTGAGCCAAGAAAGGAGACCTGGATTGAGGAAGACCCATCTCTACAATGTCAGGAGTTGTAACTCTTGACAAGTGGATATCGGGCACACATAGACTGATGGAGCAAAACCCATAACCCTGATTCCCTTTAATATGAACAGAATAACAGACAAAACCAGTCTGGTTTTAGCAGCGGGTATAGTGGTTATCTTTGGGGAAGAAAGTGGTGGTAATAATGATGACTGACCAGGAAGTAGTGAAAGACAGATGATCCTTTATATTCGATCTGTTTGGTGGATACAAGAGTGTGTTCTGGGCTGGGGTTGTGGCTCACTGGTAGAGTGCTTGCCTAGCACACCTTGGCAAGGCACTGGGTTGGATATTGTGCCCATCTACAACTAAAAATATTAAAAAAAAAAAAAAAAAAAAAAACCTGTTCTTTGTGATCATGAATCAAGCTATACAAAATGACTGGTTTGTGCTGGGCATGGTGGTTACCTCAGCAATTGGGAAGCTGAAGCAAAAGGATCACAATCTTGAAGCCAGCCTGGGCAATCAACCTTTTATCTCCCCATCTAGAAAAAAAAAAAAAAAAAAAAAAGGGGCTGGGGATGTAATTCAGTGGTAGTGAGTGCTTTGGCTCAATCCCCAGCACCAAACAAACAAAAAGTATCCATAGGTAAAATGGGGAGATTTGTATTTTCAAATAGGATTTTGGCAACTGTGATAAAGCCAACCCCACTTTTTTTGGGGGGTGGGGGTATACTGGGGATTGAACCCAAGGGCACTTAACCACATCTCCAGCCCTTTTTATATTTTGAGACAGGGTCTTGCTGAGACTGGTTCTGATCCTTCTGCCAGTCTCCAAGTTGCTGGGATTACAGCAGTGCACCACTACACCCAGCTTAAAGGCCCTTTTTGTACCAGCACCTGGAAACCCATGGTTAAAAAAGAACCAACTTTAGCTGAGCAAGGTGATGCAAGCCTTATAATGCAGCTGCCTGGGAGGCTGAGGTAGGAGGATCTCAAGGATTTTCCAGGTCAACCAGGTCAAATTAGACTCTGTCAAAATTTAAAATGGGGTAGGAATGGTGGGGATGTAGCTCAGTGGTTCAATACAGGATGGGGTTGGGGTGCGAAATAAATGGTTTCAACATGTTACTTTGTGTTACTTCAACTTGTAGTAACATAAAATCGAACCCAGATTCCTGGTTATAGATTAGTTATATGATCATACATGTGGCACATGGTAAGGCCTCACTAAGCTTCTGGTCTTGACGATCCTTCAGGCTAAGGAACTATGCCATGTGGTTACAAGTGTGGACATTGAAAGAAGATCTGGATTTGAGTCCTGGCTCTATCACTTTGTACTATAACCATCCTGGACCTCAAATTGCTTTCACTATGAGAGGACAGAACAGATAGTATAGGATAGTTGAGGGAATAGAGCTAAAACCTACACTTAGAACACAGAAAGTGCTGTTTTCTATTATAAAATACAACCAAAGCAGTCAAACCAGTCAATGCTGAGATCTGAACAGTGTGGGCTTTTATGAAGGTAGATTCTACAATTGACTTTACCTCTTACCAACCCTGGGCCTATATTAAGTGCCACACCCATGTGTACACAGCTGCAATTTGGCAGAAAGTGATGGGACATAGAATCTGAACTCAGTTTGCCTTACCGCTCACCATGTTTCCAATGGTCACCTTGGGGTTTATAATACATATTCCCTAGGGCTGGGGATCTGGCTCAAGCAGTACCGCACTCCCTGGCATGCATGGGCACTGGGTTCGATCCTCAGTACCACATAAAAATAAAGATGTTGTGTCCACTGAAAACTGAAAAATAGTTAAAAAGTTCTCTCAAGGGCTGGGGATGTGGCTCAAGCGGTAGCACGCTCGCCTGGCATGTGTGCGGTGTTCGATCCTCAGCACCACATACCAACAAAGATGTTGTGTCCACCGAGAACTAAAAATAAATATTAAAAATTCTCTCTCTCTCCTGTCTCACTCTTTATTTTAAAAAAATCATACATATTCCCTGACTTTGTCTATGGAGTCAACATGGAAAGATGGTAGGAATCCAAAGTGGGTGTTTGCCTTTTTAAATAAATTTTTTCATGGAAGCCTTACATATATACAAAAATATGCGGAATCATGATTATACAGCTTGATATAAGAACAAAGCTCTGAAATCACCAATTACAAGTTCAGGGGCTGGGGAATGTGGCTCAAGCGGAAGCGCGCTCGCCTGGCATGCGTGCGGCCCGGGTTCAATCCTCAGCACCGGACAACAAAGATGTTATGTCCGCAGAGAACTAAAAAATAAATATTAAAAATTCTCTCTTTAGAAAAAAAAAAAGTGCTTCCTTTAAAAAAAAAAAAAAAAAAAAAAGTTCAAAGCCAGCCACAACATCTTGGCAAGAACCTGTCCCCAAAAAAGTAAAAAGAGCTAGGGTTAAGCACCCCTGGCTTCAATCCTCAGTATCCAAAACAAAACATTTTAAGCAAGAGTGATCTCTTTTTTTTTTAATGAATGCAAAGAACAGAATGTGAGGGAGATGAGAGCAGCAATGAATGGACCAGTTAGATAAGGGAACAGTGGACCAGGTGAGAGATGCTGCCGCCCTGGTTTTAGAAGGTGAACATGAGACTGAACAACAACAACAAAATCATTCTCTTTGACCCAGCATGAAGTACTAGTATTGGTGACACATTTGCAAGTCACCAAAAGGCAGTTGGACATGCTGACTTGCAGCTTGAGAAATCTTCATGACAGCTACATACATACTAAAAAATCTTATGGGGCTGGGGGTATAACTCAGCAGTAGAGTGATTTCTTAGCAAGGACAAAGCCCTGAATTTGATCCCCAGCTCTGCTAGAAAGAAAAAAAGTTCTATTAAAAAGGTGGGAGGTGAGGGGCTGGGGCTCAGCAGTAGAGGGCTTGCCTAGCACGTGTTCAATCCTCAGCACCACATAAACAAATAAAGGTTAAAAAAAAAAAAAAGGAGATAGGCTAGGGATACAGTTCAATTGGTAGTGTTTACCTCACAAACACAAGGCCCTGGCTTCAATCCCCAGCATCAAACACAGAAAAAAAGGTAGGAGGTAAGCAGGACACTTAAATCAGGTCATACAACTTTAATGATGATTTGCTTAAAAAAAAATGTACAAGCAATTTTAAAACAAAATATTTTATTGTACACGTTAATTCTCAAATATTTAGAATTCAAGGAACTTGACAACTGCTATCCAGAACATCTATGAAACTGCATTACTATCTGTTTTTTATTTGCTGAAAATAAGGGAGGAAAAATCTATTCTGGTTTTCAGTTGTAAAGCCCATAAAGATTCTAGAAATGAGATTAAATTTACTGTTAGTCCTAAAAACTAAAAAGAATAATCTACCAGGTTCTTTATCTTTCATGATCCACTGGTAAGATTTTAAGAGGTTTAGAATCTGTTCCAACATAGAAATAAGGCCATATGGTTTTGATTTTGGTTAAAGAATCACTGAAACTATATAGGAGAGACCTATCATCCCCATTATAAAAGGAAACCTCACCCAATTCAAAATCCAAAAAAATGCCTATTTTACTGGGTTTTGGTACTGGCAAAAGCTGGGTTTTCTTGGGACCAAACACCACATAACCACTCTCAATATACCGTCCAATTGCCCAGAAGCCACTTAGGACTGATGGCAGATTCCTCCAGTTCCAAAGAAGATAGTCTTGACAGACACCTACTGTCCACTGAGGTTTGTTTCCCACGTCAACCTCCCAGTAATGTCTACCAGAGTTAAACATCTTAGAACCCAGGACAGCAGGGCAGAGATAAAATCTCCTTGAGTTATAACAGTCAGTCTGTTTTGTTCTTCCGAACGTCACACTTTTTCTGTCCTCAGAGACAATAAGCTGGGGATATGCTGTGTTGGGGTCTAAACTCACATCTCTATGAAATTGCTTTATGATTCTCTTTAAGCCAGAATACTGTGGAAGAAGACTGAAGCCATAGTTGTTTAATCCGAGTGACGAAAGTTCAGGGTGTTTCAGGTTTTGATACCTCTGGCGTATGCTCTTAACATCCTTTAGTAATGCCAGGTCTGACTGCACACACTTGCCCTTTATTTCCTTCATTAAGCGTTTTAATGTGGACATGTGATCTGAGAAAGTTACAAGGTTTTCATTAAGTTTTGATAAAATATCCAACTCTTCATCTTGTATCTGCTTAAGCAGAGCCTCTTGCTCATTCTGTAAACATAGTTTAATTTGCTCAAATTCAGTATTTATTTCTTCTCTCCTATATTCTACCTTCTTTTTCAGCTCATGAAATTTCCTACCTTGCAGAATTAGCACTTTTTCAACTCGTTCCACATTATTCTTCAATGGCTGGATGCTAGATTCTAGAAAACGTCTTTGGAAGGTGGCAGCTTGCTTAATGGGACAAATGTAGTGTCTCTGATGTTCAGCAGAGAAACTGCACTGGGTACACAAAATCTGCAGATCCTTCACACAGAAAAGGGTCATAAATTGATTATGTTTCTCACAGATAGCATTTTCTTCTTGCCTCTTCCTCTTGCTCTTTCTGATCCGGAGTAGTTGAGCAATTTCAATAAAATTACAGAGCTGGGGGTTCCTCCTGAACTTCCTTTCTGGAAACCCAAATCGGCAGACAGGGCAGGGAAAGGCATCAGTTAGATCCTTCCAGGAATGATTGAGACAATCAAAACAGAAGTTATGCCCACAGCTAATGGTCACTGGGTCTTTCAAGTAATCCAGACAGATGGGACAACTGCAGTCCCTTTGGAGGTCTGCCAGGGCAGACACAAACTCCATTGAGCTGTGAGTAAAGTTGGTGCACAAGGTAATACTTCCTTGGGAAACCTGCCTCAGGTCTAAATGTGAAGTATGAAGTAGATAACCCTCCAAACCCACACACACAGACCAGATATAGATTTTACTGGCCTGGCATGTTGGTGGATGTCAAAAGTCTTATTTAGATCTCAGCACTTTAGCTCAGAGGATAAGAAGAATTCACAGCTTATCATTAGCCCATCTGCACTCAAGTTTAATGACTTTCTTCAAGAAAGCAGCCACAGACCTAATGGACCAATCATTCCTGTGGGTGAGAAAATATTTTTAATTTCAAAATGTCCTGGATTTGAAACCATGATACAATAGTTGATTGAGACAAGAATTATCAATAACTGTTACCTTTACAATGTAGAGATGGAAAAAATGCCACCATAACCAATGATGGGAAAAACTGATGACCTAAAATAAGAAAAAACATTACCATCAATAAATAATAAAAAAAAATACCTGTATCTAATCATAGGGAAACAATCACAAAAATCCAAATCACAGTGATTCAGTAAGACAGTGATATTGGACTGCATAAGTGACAATGATGCCCAAAAAATGAGGCAGGGAGGAGCTGGGGATGTAGTTGAAAGGGAGACTGCCTGCATAGCATGTGCCAGGACCTGGGTTCCATACCCAATAAGGCAAAACAAACAAAAGCCAGGTGTGTTGGACTCCACCTATAATCCCAGCCACTTGACAGGCTGAGGCAACAGAATCCCAAATTTGAGGCCAGTCTGAGCAACTCAGTGAGAGACTGTCTCAAAATAAAAAAAAAAATAAATAAAAAATAAAGGTTTGGGAAACACCAAGTTCAATCCTCAGTACCAAGAAAAAAGAAGGGCTAGTACAGCACTCATGACTTCAATCCCCAGTACTGAGAAGGAAAAAAAAAAAAATATATATATATATATATATATAGTAGAAAGTATCAGATATTGGATATACTCATTATTTATTATTTTTTCAGTACTGGAGATCAAACCCAGGGGCACTCTACCACGAGTTACATCCATAGACCTTTTTATTTTGAGACAAGTTCTTTCTAAGTTGCTGAGGATCTCATTAAATAGCTAAGGTTGGCCTTGAACCTGTGATCCTCCTGCCTTAGGCTCCCAAGTAGCTGGAATTACAGGGCACCTGGGCAACTCAGTAAGACTCTGTCACAAAATAAAATGGTTCAGGGATGGGGTATAAGTTCAATCCCCAGTACAGAAAAAAAGAGGAAAGAAAATTCATTAGGCACTGTAGTCCTATATATAGTGATATCTACTTGCCACATTAACCTTTTCTTGCTAGAGTGCATGATTAATTTGTATTAAATAAGCCAGGATCACTGCTGTGGATGTGAACTCCTGTCCTGTAATCTTCCAATACCTGTCTTTTCCTCACATCACCTCACAGACCTTGTCTCCTCAGGGAAACTGTCTCCACTCTCCAATCTGACATTCTCCCACTTTCCTGCTTTCTTTCATTCTCCCTTCTCTCTACTTTCAATCATGGACTCGAACATAATTCTGAAATTGTCTTGTACATGTATTTGATTCTCTTTTGGCCTTCACCAGTAAATTGAGATAGGTTGGAAGTTTGTAGTGCACCTTACTCCTTGGGAAATGGCAGAAAATTACTTTTAAAAGAGAAAGCCAGATTCAGTGGCCCATGCCTGTAATCCCAGAGGCTGGGAAAGTTGAGACAGGATTTTGAGTTCAAAGCCAGCCTCAGCAATGGCAAGGCACTAAGCAACTCAGTGAGACCCTGCCTCTGAATTTATTGTTATTCAATAAAATTTTGACATTGTGGACAGTCACATCCATGTTTGACCTATGTTTCAGCAATCTAGCAAGATGTTGTCTCGACAAAAAAAAGGAGGAGGAACTAACGTTGTAGCTCGTTGGTAGACTGTCCCTAGATTCAATTCCCAGTACCTACAAAAATTGATCAAAGAAGAGAATTTTAAAAACACCCTGTTAGAGCTGGGGCTGTGCACTTGCCTGCCTGTGAGGCACTGGGTTTGATTCTCAGCACCACATATAAATAAATAAAGGTCTATCAACAACTTAAAAAAAAACGAACAGCCAGATGTGGTGGTGCATGCCTGTAATATCTGCGGTTTGGGAGGCTAAAGCAGGAGAGAGGGAGGGAGGAGGAGAGAGGGGGAGGG